TTTTGGCCCCGCCCCTCAGGCCCCTGGGGGCGTAGGACTAAACCGGCAACTATTTTTGTTGACCTTTGTCCATGGAAGGTCCCTGCAAAATTTCATTGCAATTGGTTCAGGGGTTTTGGAGAAGAAGATTTTTGAAATTTTAGTCAATTTGACCCCTTTTGGCCCCGCCCCTCAGGCCCCTGGGGGCGTAGGACTAAACCGGCAACTATTTTTGTTGACCTTTGTCCATGGAAGGTCCCTGCAAAATTTCATTGAAAATTTCATTCAGAAGTTGAAAATGTAAATTGTTTACGGACGCACGACGGACGACGGACGACGACGACGGACAAAAGGCGATCGCAATAGGTCACTTGAGACTTTGTCTCAGGTGACCTAAAAATGCTGTAGGTAATATAAATCCAGTGGAATATAATAAAAGTACCTGTAACACACACAGACCGGTTAGATCAGTGGCTAATGTCATAATGCCTTAATCATGTACCATACCTTGTTATTAGTTTGGCAGCTGCTAGTGTGTGCAGTTCTGTCATCACATTCCGTTCAGCTGATAGAGATTTTCATATGACTAAATTAAGACATCTATAATGCAAGAGTTGGAATAAGTAACTCAACAAAATTCAATAAATGTCACTAAAACACTGGTTAAGTACAACATACATACATTCATCAAGGGGAGATAATTTAGATTTCAACTCAATTCATTTAAGGATTAAATCTTGCTTTGGTCGATTTCATGGGGTGATGCATTGAGTTGGTCATTGAAACAAATTTAATGAACTGTAAAGCAGTTCATGTTGAATTTGTTTCAAGACCAACTCAATTCATCACCCTATGAAATCGACCAAAGCAAGATTCGATCCTTATAAATCAATCAACATGTTTTTTTAGCTTCGGACCAGGTGAGCTTATGCCATACCGCAGCGTTCGTCTTAAAACGCTACTTGTCCTGAACGGCCAAATATATTTTGACTAAATTTGGTCCAGAGCATCCTTCGGCCAAGGGGACTCAATTTTGTCGGTGGGTGTGGCCCCCCTAGGGGCAGAGGGGCGGGGCCAATTAGGGGAAATAGTGGTAAAACCTTTAAAATCCTTCTTCTACTGTACATGTAGGGATTAAAGTATTTTATCCTTATTTAGTCTGAAGCATCCTTGGGCCAAGGGGACTCAATTTTGTATAAACGGTGGGTGTGACCCCCCTAGGGGCAGAGGGATGGGGCCAAATAGGGGAAATAGAGGTAAAACCTTTAAAATCTTTCCTCTACTGTAGGGATTAAGGGATTTTATCCTAATTTAGTCTGAAGCCCCCTTGGGCCAAAGGGACTCAATTTTGTATAAACGGTGGGTGTGACCCCCCTAGGGGCAGAGGGGCGGGGACAAATAGGGGAAATAGAGGTAAAACCTTTAAAATCCTTCTTCTACTGTAGGGATTAAGGGATTTTATCCTTATTAAGTCTGAAGCCCCCTTGGGCCAAAGGTACTCAATTGTGTATAAACGGTGGGTGTGACCCCCCGAGGGGCAGAGGGGCGTGGACAAATAGGGGAAAAAGTGGAAAAACCTTTAAAATCTTTCCTCTACTGTAGAGATTAAGGGATTTTATCCTAATTTAGTCTGGAGCAACCTTGGGCCAAGGGGATTTTGTATAAACCGTGGGCATGGCCCCCTTGGGGGCAGAGGAGCAGGGCCTAATAGAGGAAAAATAGCAAATTCATCAAAAATTCTTCTTCTGCTGTAGGAATGACAGGATGTTGCCCAAATTTGGTATGAAGCATTATTCGGTGAAGGGGAACATATATTGTATATACGGTGTGCCTGACCCCCCTGGGGGCAGAGAGGCAGGCCCAATAAGGGATATGAAGGAATTGCTTTTTTTCTTCCATTGGGATGAAGTTATTTTGACTAAAATTGAACAGTAGCATCCTATTGGGAAGGTAAATCAATTTTGTATAAATAGTGAGTCTGACCTAGTATTTTATTTTTTAATTTAAAACCTGCTGAATATCATACAGGTTTATCAAAGGAGTGCAAGGAACAAAGTTGCAAGAAGAACTACATATAAATCTGTTTTGTTATGTCCCAATTTTCCTCTATTTCCCCTATTGGGCCTGACAATGCACCTTTTTACACAAATTAAATAAATTGAGGTTTTTTCCCCCCTAACCATGCTTCAGACCACATTTGGTTGAAATCCCTTCATTTGGACAGAAGGGAAAACATTTTTCTCTATTTCCCCTATTGGGCCCCGCTCATCTGACCCTGGGGGGGGGGCACATCTTCCATTTATAAATATTAAATTCCCTTTGCCCAAAGATTCTCTATTTCCCCTAATGGGCCCCACCCATCTGCCCGAGGGAAGGAGGTCCACACACCTCAGTTTATACAAAATTGATTCTTTTGTCCCTAAGCATGCTTCAGACGGCATTTGGTTTATATCCCTAGTAGAAGAAAAAAATCCTCTATTTCCCCTATTGGGCCCTGCCCCTATGCCCCCATGCCCCAGGAGAGAAGGGCCACACCCTCTGTTTATACAAACTTGAGGCTCCCTTACCCAAAGATGCTCTAGAACAAATTTGGGCAAAATCCTTTAGTTGGTTGAGAAGAAGCAGACTTTTTAAAGATTTACCTATTTTCACCCTATTTGGCCCCACCCCTCTGCCCCCAGGGGGACCATACCCTCCGTTTATACAAAACTGAGAACCCTTTGGCCAATGATGCTCCAGACCAAATTTGGTCAAATTCCTCTGAGCCGTTAAGGACAAGTAGCATTTTAAAGAAAAAACTAGACGCCGGATGCCGGATGCCGAACGCTGCGCCATGGCATACGCTCACTTAGCCCTTCGGGCCAGGTGAGCTAAAAATATAATCTGTCATTGAAAGACCATCATACAATTTCTAGGCCAGTCACAAGACTTGTCACTACCGCTAGCAACCGTGAGCTGATAATATTTTGTTGATTGATCGTTTTTAGCTGTTTGAACAATTTCTTGTGTTGCTTCAATAAAAAATGTAAAATCTCGTCAAGTGGTATCTTTGTTTATGTCAATAGTTATCTCCCTTCGCAAAAACATATTCGGGCAATGTTAATCTGGTAAAATTCATTGGCAAATGAAACGGGTTACATTTGGTAGTTGCATTGAGTCTCACTTGAGTAGAAATTGAAATATTATCAAATGAAGAAAATTAAGATTTGAGTCTCCTATAAATATTACAAGCTTTTTATATCAGTAATTTTGAACATAGTTTAGCAGGGTAGATCATTAGATGGTCACAAAGTGACCCATTTACATTGATTTGGTGCCTTAAGTCATCTGATGAGATTCAGACTGCTACTGTCAGATGCCCAAAGCTCTGTATATCAGTTCTACTCAAATTGTTGAACCTACAATGTTTATAGTGTTTTAATTTCTGTAAGACTGGATGTACCGGAAATAAAGAGGAGCTAACACATACCAGTATATTAACTGAATACCTAATGAAAAATGTAAAAAGAAACATCTTTATGTTTTTTAAAATATAGTGCCTGGGAGGTGTCATGAACATCTAAAGTACTCTGTGACTTACATAACGATAACAGAGTACATGTATTAGTAGTTTACATCATCTTTGATATTTAAATTCTCTCTTACCAATTATGATAACGAATAAGCATATGTCTACTTTAGCTTACTGTTGGATTTCTGATCATTATATACACACAAGCTTATTTTGGATCGTATTGACCCAGTTATATGAGAAATGTTAACTCAATTTTTGAACATTGTACATTTTTTTCACAATTTTTGTTTTTAGATGATTAAATAGTTTTTACTGTTAAATTCAATAATGATGAAACTATTTCATATTTTAGTTATTTTCTCATTATGCTAATTTATCTACAAACAACAAGCCCATGCAACAAGCCCATGCTGTATAACATATTTTTTTCCTATGTGCTGACCTGTCAGTGTTAATTGCGAACTTCAATCTTCAAATTTCATTAAGTTTTAAAATTGTTTTTCCCATTATGAGATTTTGCTTAAATTCTTATTATAAATCTAGTACAATTGCATTCCATATTCCTATGTTTACAAGGTAGACATCATTCTTGATTCATCAAGAAATCAGTCATACCCGGTAATCAAATATTTTGGTTTTGGTTATATGCCAACAATTTTATTAATTATGAACTTAAATTTTAAGATAATAAGTCTATATATTGGATTTAAGTCTTGATTTGTTTACCTCTGATCAATAAGTTTTTAAGATGTTTAATGACACAAAGTTATGTGATATGATTGTATTTCTATTTCTGAAGGAAAACAGAAAAAATAAATATTCTCCAACATTAACACTGTTTCTTACTCTTTCACTTTGCCTTGCATGATGATCTACACTCCAAACTAAAACTGAAAATATATAATGATGAATTACTATATATAATAATAAATAACATGCTTCTGATACTCTCTCAGAATAATATTTATCTTAATTGTTTCACAGATAAGTAATGTCTTATTTATGGAATAAGATAAGTAAACTTTTTGGAGTCTTCATTCACTGAATTTCACCCCTGAAGACACATTTGATCTCTTCCAATTCAAAGGTTGGCATATAGTTCATTATGAAATTTCAGGGGTGAATGAGTTAAATCAAAGTTACCCATCCCCTTCATGCTCTGTTATGACCTGCTAGATATATAATATCTATAAACTATCCCTCCATGTGGCTACCAGATAATGTGTGGTACAAGTATACACTTCAATAAAAGTTGTTTTTGTGGGAAAAAATGAAATTTTAGGGTAAAAAGATGTTTGTGTTGCTGCATTAATTGTAAAATAAGTCATGAACAGGATCAATGTTTTAAATCTAGAATTACCTGTCAGTACCATATTTTCCATGCACAGGGACTGTTATTGGAAAACGAATCTTAAAATGATATACATGTATATAGAGAAATTAAAAACCATAAGGAGAAGAAATCTTGAAAATGTATATATGGCAAATATTACTTAAACGGAAAAGTTAAAAGTCAGACCTCCAAAGATTCAATTCGCAAACTTGAGCAGAAACATAGTAACCTTATATATAAAGTAGAGTATTAGCATAGTAAGGTGACTTGTTTTCATGTGATGAGTAACAAGCATCCTTGTCTGATACCACAGGTCAACTCTAGATACCCACCCATAGGCAAATATACCCCTACACAGTCACCCCGACAGTTGCAGGAAGAGATTGACAAGATGGAAAATGAAATTAAGGCATTGCAAGACCGAAATGAGGTAATACTTTCAGATAAGCTGAAAGACTTTATACCGAGTCTAGACATACTTTCTGTTTTTCTCATTAAAAAATCTTGGGGTTGTTTTTTTCTCACTTTTATAAACACATTTAATTTGAAGTAGTAACATAACTTGATGAGTTTGGATCAGAATAGACTGTTCTTTATGTTTACTAATTATATATATAAGTACATAGATATGCTTACCTGGTACTTGTGTGGTTGCTAATGGATACATAAACAGTGCCTTAAATGGAATGGTTTGATCTGTTTAAATTTGAAATCGGTTTAATTTGCACTTAAAACTTCTAAAAGTAATCAGATGTCATGTTTAAACTAGTATGTGCATTAATTGGTGTTTTTGACAATTTAAATAATGGTTTGCTATGCAAAAACATTTACTTTACTAATCATGCTAAAAGGATTACTTACCTCCCTTCTAAGAAATCTTTCCATCTTGTTGTTTTCCTAACCCTGGCTTATTATGGCCTCCTTAACTTTGTGTTCTATGTTATGATGTGGTGTGTGTGTGTATGTGTGGGGGTGTGTTTGTGTGTGTGGGTCGGTGTGTGTGTGTGTGCGTATAGAATTGAAGAGGTATTGTTTTAATTGCTATTTTATTTCATAATTATTGGGTATCAGAACCTTGTAAGTATTACTTGTCCTTTCCTGGAATGGAAATGTTTTCTAAAACATGTTTTGAGTTAGCAGGTTTCTGTTAGAATTAAAATATACACCTTATTGTACACTATATATCTCTTGCTATAGTTTTGTTTTTAAATTAAAGAATACATAGGAAAAAACCCATCTAAACGATCAACATGTGCAGCGTGTAGTGAAGTATGAAGTGTGGTGTACGTGATATCAGAAAATAATTCTGTCATATTGTTTAAACATACCTTGTTTACTCTGATTGAAATTGACCACCTCTTCAGTCAAGTGTTACATTGCTGACAATAAACTGGTATCTAAGGGATATAAACAACTGCTGTCTTTAAGTAATAGATTTCAATACAGTTGTGTATTTGTATTTTAGTCCAGCCCACTTGTACTTTATTTCCTTTAAAAAGTTGAAAGAATGTTTTCGTTTTGATACGGAAACAGCCTATGAACGAAACAGTGTCACGTACACTGCCAACGTTTTTTTTTATGTAATGTTTCACAAAAAAAGTAACTATAAATTTTCAAGTGAGTTTTCTTTTTAGATTACATCAGTGAAATATGTCACAAAATTAATAGATGGTACATGTAACTGTTTCATTAATGTTTTCTTTTTCCTTGAATTAATTTGTTTAATATACTGATTACAAAATGTACTATGTAATATATTGTCTTTTATTTCCAACTTTACACAATTATGGTATGATTTTCTCTGTGTGGGCTTTATAACAAACTATTATGGTTCGGCTTCACACTAGACTGTCGTTCTGTTGGTAGTTATTCAGATGTTTTAAATGTAAGATAAAATCATGTGAATCTATTCTACATTTGTACATATATGTAGTAAAAACATAGGAGTGTGAACCTAGGTACATATATTTGAATGTGATTTGAAATATTGAAAGATATTGTTATAGATTTCCTTATAAGATTCTTTTTAAAATTTGGTTTAAAAAATTTGGTGACAAAAACAAAGATCGTGTTAATGAGATTCTTCCAGCTTAGAGCAGAGCAAATTACTGCTTAAACAGTATATTTATTGATTTTTTTATTGACGTTCTTTATTTGATTCAAAAAAAGGAAAGCCTTAATAAATCAATGATTATCAATGTTGTTATTGTTTTATTAGTACTTTTCATAGAATTGTTCCATAGAATTTTTATCTGAATTCTCTAACTCTGAAATAATGTCAGTTGATAAATGCATGTAAAAATTGGCGTAATTAAAAACAAAAATAATAGGGCCCTGTTGTTTCAAAGGTGATTTTATTTTTTATGTATCTTTAAAATACAACCATTAACCGAGTCAAAATTTTTTGATAGCAAAAACTTAAGAAGAGTGAAATTACATGTAAAATTGTGAGTTTCTAACTTGTATATTAACCAAATTTTTAGGGGTTGAAAAATGTCGTTAAACAGTGATTAGGCTGGTGGGTAATTATTTCAATTAATGTTATGTTTTTAAAATTAGGAATTGATTGTTGCCTTTTGTAGTCATTCAACTATTCTATCTCAACCACTTTGACTGGAGAATCATTAATTTTATCGTGGTATAGGGCTCATTGTCATAAAGTTGTGCAAGAATGTCACTGTCAATAAGTTTAAAACAGGACTTCAATATTCTCGTAACTTAATTGTTCTTAACCATAAAGAAACCCTTTGTGAAAGGTCATCACTACCATGATTAAAAAAGGGTGACATGAACGAATGTTCAATTTGGAAGTTAATTTTCTAACAACAAATAAAATCTGTTAAAAGACACAAGGAAATCACCAGTTTGTTTTGTTGTCAATTTTACAGGAGATAATTCACCATAAAAATGAGGAAAGACAGGCACTTGTAGCAGCCATCACAAGTCTAGGGAAAAGCCTATACGGGATTGACGAGATGAGATACCGGTCATCAGGTATGTTAATAGACATCTTCAGGTATTTTAATATACATCATCAAGTTTATGCTTATAGACAACATCAAGTTTATGTTCATAGATATCATCAAGTTTATGTTCATAGACATCATCAAGTCTGTATGCAGACCTGGGAACTGTCTGTTATAAAAGGGTATAGTCATATAACACAGATGGGAGAGTTTTTACTCTGTAGGGCTGGGAACTCTGTTATAGAAGGGTAACAAGGATGGGAGAGTTTTTACTCTGTAGGGCTGATAACTGTCTGATATAGAAGGGTAGGCATATAATACAGAGGGGAGTTTTTACTCTGTAGGGCTGGGAACTGTCTGTTATAAAAGGGTATAGTCATATGACACAGATGGGAGAGTTTTTACTCTTTAGGGCTGGGAACTCTGTTATAGAAGGGTAACAAGGATGGGAGAGTTTTTACTCTGTAGGGCTGATAACTGTCTGATATAGAGAGGTAGTCATATAACACAAAGTAGAGTTTTTACTCTGTAGGGCTGGTAACTGTCTGATAGAGAAGGGTAGTCATATAACACAGATGTGAGAGTTTTTACTCTGTAGGGCTGGAAACTGTCTGTTATAGAAGGGTAGGCATATAACACAGATGGGAGAGTTTTTAGTCTGTAGGGCTGGTAACTGTCTGTTATAAAAGGGTATAGTCATATGACACAGATGGGAGAGTTTTTACTCTTTAGGGCTGGGAACTCTGTTATAGAAGGGTAACAAGGATGGGAGAGTTTTTACTCTGTAGGGCTGATAACTGTCTGATATAGAGAGGTAGTCATATAACACAAAGGAGAGTTTTTACTCTGTAGGGCTGATAACTGTCTGTTATAGAAGGGTAGTCCTATAACACAGATGGGAGAGTTTTTACGCTGTAGGGCGGGGAACTGTCTGAAATAGAGAGGTAGTCATATAACACAGATGTGAGAGTTTTTACTCTGTAGGGCTGGTAGCTGTCTGTTATAGAAGGGTAGGCATATAATACAGAGGGGAGTTTTTACTCTGTAGGGCTGGGAACTCTGTTATAGAAGGGTAACAAGGATGGGAGAGTTTTTACTCTGTAGGGCTGGAAACTGTCTGTTATAGAAGGGTAGTCCTATAACACAGATGGGAGAGTTTTTACGCTGTAGGGCGGGGAACTGTCTGAAATAGAGAGGTAGTCATATAACACAGAGGAGAGTTTTTACTCTGTAGGGCTAGTAACTGTCTGTTATAGAAGGGTAGTCATATAATACAGATGGGAGAGTTTTTCCTCTGTAGGGCTGGTAACTGTCTGTTATAGAAGGGTAGTAATATAATACAGATGGGAGAGTTTTTACTCTGTAGGGCTGGTAACTGTCTGTTATAAAAGGGTATAGTCATATAACACAGATGGGAGAGTTTTTACTCTGTAGGGCTGATAACTGTCTGTTATAGAAGGGTAGGCATATAATACAGAGGAGAGTTTTTACTCTGTAGTGCTGGTAACTGTCTGTTATAGAAGGGTAGTCATATAAAACAGATGGGAGAGTTTTTACTCTGTAGGGCTGATAACTGTCTGATATAGAGAGGTAGTCATATAACACAGATGGGAGAGTTTTTACTCTGTAGGGCTGGTAACTGTCTGTTATAGAAGGGTAGTCATATAAAACAGATGGGAGAGGTTTTACTCTGTAGGGCTGGGAACTGTCTGATATAGAGAGGTAGTCATATAATACAGATGGGAGAGATTTTACTCTGTAGGGCTGGGAACTCTGTTATAGAGAGTAAATCATATAAAAAATAGCCCTATATTAATAATTGTTTGCAAATATGTCAATATTTCTGTAAGTTTAAGTCATTGATTGATGAAAAAAGTGTCATACAAATTATTACAATGCAAAACTTAGTCATTTCAATGTAGGTCTTATATTTATATATTGTATAATAATTGTTGTAAATGTCTTAGGTCGAGTTCACATGACTGAAGTGGTGGAAGAATCGCTCAAACATAGACTACCACTTCCTCAGCGATTTTTGGAGGATGCCGCTGACAAATGCAGGAATGCCAAAGGAATGGTAGACATTCAGAAATACCTCGACCTGATCAAGGCGCTGGTCATCACTTAATCAGTTGTTACCTTGGAAACCAGTCTCCATGGCAACAAACACTCATTGTTATTGAAGATCTGTGATATCTACACCTCCGTCCACTTCTCATGCAGCCCAGTTGAGGCCAACCTCACATCGTACTTTAAGTCCATAGTTAATTTATTTGAAATGTATGTAGCAAATTATATCAACTTTAGTCAGCATTTGTAGTGAAACTTTCAGCTAACTCAATGTTTTTGATGGAAAGCAAATAACTTCTGAAATCAGTGTTAAAGATAGGGTAGTGATGCTACTTCGTAATAGAATCTTATCAGATTTTCGTGCTAAAGGATAAGCATTTACCAAGTGATGTTTTCACATGAAGAACTTTTTTTTTTTTCTAGTTGAAAAAATATTGATATTGAACCATTTGTAGAAAAAAAAGACTTATAAAGAGCAAACACATTGTGACATTTCTGTAATTATTTCTGTATTGTGATGATACGATACAATTATTCACTAAACTTTAATATAATGACTACGATAATTCACTAAATTTACCATGGTGACACAACAATTTATCGTAAATATGCACTTTATCAATATTTGTGAAATTCTGTCATAACAGTGCTACTTTGTTTGTGTTTCGAAATTTACTCAAACTGAATTACGTCCAATGTTCTTGATGAAATCTATTATGATCATGTATTTAACATTTAACTGATATCCCTACATTTTATTTGAGGTGAATACTGTGATTCTTTACCTACAAATAAACACTAAGTCATCATAGGTATGCCAATTAGGAATTTTCCTACAGTATAGACATTATATAACAAGTTCAATATGAAAGGAAGCCAGAAACGTTTTTCAAAAAATTAAATATAAGACATTTTAGAATTATCAAATTGATATTAATGTGATGCAAATTATTGTTGTTATATAAATCTTCAAACGTTGATTGTGTTGGTGAGAGTTTGGATAGGAATTTGGTAAACTTTTTCGTAATTCATGTTTGAAATCGTTTATGTGGAAGGGAGACATTTTGTGTTTGCTCTTTTCATTTTTTCGATGAGCCCCTAAAGAGAATTATCATAACAAAATATGTTACACAGTATTTCGTAACATTTTCGACAGGTAGAAAATACTTTTAGTATTTATTGTAATAATAAGGTTACCAAGTCATTGAGGACATCATTGTAAGAAACTATGATCATACTAATTCACATTATTAACAAGACAAAATGACTCATAAATGCTAACCTTGTTATTGGTCAATGTATTGAAATGGCAAAAATATCAAATTGTTGTTTTCTCTACTACATGATGTTCTATTCTAACATGTATCTGCAGAAGGAGTTACTCAATTGCTTGCAAATAAAAAATTCAAATTTAAAATTTGGGTATCCTAGATTGTACTTTTCTTGCACCTGGGACAGGGATATATGAATGATACCTGTGCCAGTTTTGTCAGGGGTTTTATTGGTTTTAGGATATTTATTCTACACTGATATTTTGAATTTGAAATCTACACCTTTTTGAGCACGGATTATATTGTTTACATGAAAGCTTTTAAATGTGGATTTAGTGGTGCAGATCATATTGAGGCCCAAGACAGGATACCTGTTGTTTCCGAACTTATGAGGTGCAAGAAAAAATCAATTATCTGCAACTAATTAGCAAGATCAGGTTATTCCAGATAAAAATCTGTAACATCCCATCATTGGATGGCACCTCTGTTGGGGTTATATTACAGAATATTGACTGAGCTCGCTCATTTACATGAGTTCTGTGATTGATATTTATTTGTCGATATATATCATTATCATGTATGACATTGTGTTATGGTAGAAATCATTGTCTCCATCAATCATGCCCATTGATTTGGAAGGTAGATCATGGTGCCACTTAGATAACTATAATCAAAATACCTGGCCCTGTAGACAGCAGTTAATTACCTCCCCTTGTTTTAATAGATTTATTGCTGTACTAGATCAGTCATGTGATTATCACATGATCAGATGTTTTAACCCTTTCACCTCTATGTAATTTGAGTAGACTCTACCATGCATTTATCTGGATGAGTCCATTATGGTCTACAGTAGTAAAAGGGTTCTTAATAGAAGATCTATTATTGTACTGGAACAGTTATCTTACATTGTGAACTTTTGCTGGATTACAAGTTTATATCCCTATCAATATGTTAATTTTTTTATTTCTGATTATGTCAGTTACCTCCCCTTATCAGGAGGGGACTTAGTGTTACAATGGGTCAGTTTTGTAAGATCACATGTTTAAATAGAAATCATATTTCAGTACTACAGCAGTTATGTCCTCTGATTACAAGGTTAAATAGAAAAAAATAATGCTGTATTTGACAGGTAATTATAAGTCCATTTATCAGAATGATGCACTGCATCTTCAAATAAGTGAAAATTAAAAAATCAACTTTTAACAGATGATAATTCAATTTCATAACATTATTTAAACAATTTCTATGTTCAAGCAGTATCAGAACCCATAGCAATGAATTGATGTATTTTTAGCTGATATCCGGAGATAGCCAGAGTAATTACCGTTCCTTTAATTTAGTTGCTCGGGATTTGCTGGTCTGCTTCCGTTTATTGCAATCCAAACAGTTGGACCAGTTGGACCAGATTTAATCATTTATGAAATAAGGAGGAACCTAGTAATTTGATGTTGTTTTCTGACGAGCCTCAGCACTTTATTCACATTAAGACTTTCAAGGCCTGCATTAACATTTGCAGGTCGACTAGTTTTACTCCTAAAATAGTACATTTAAAATAAACATTCGACAAACCGGTTGGTCCGCATAAACGAACAGAAAGAAAATGTGAAGCCTCAATATGCTGTAGCTTTTAAAAAAAAAAACTAAAAACAAAATATGGAAAATCGTGTCAAAATTCTAGCTTCTAAGTTTTCCACATCTGATTTGACTCTCCATTTAAGCTGACCATTTTAAGTTTTGATTATAATGCAAATTTACATTTCATAAGGGGTCATTATTAAGGTCACTTTAAGTTAATGTTTATTATGTTCTTTAGTCTGCAAGTGACTATGTTGGTCTCATATAATTTTCATGATACTCATTGTGATAGGCTTCATGTGTTTAGTCTGTTAAAGTACTTTTTACTAAGTTCTGTTTAATACACTACTTACTAGCTATACATATACTGGATGTTTTAATTTATATTTGTTTAACATCATCTAGAAAGGTCTGTGATATTTACATCGAAATATTAACCAATTAATAAAGATTTAGATTTGTCAGTGGTGTATGTGTGTTATTTTTCACGGAATATTTGGTTTGGTTTATGTTGTTTCAACATCCTAATAAAATTCAAGTTCATACCAACCTTTAAGGATGTGTTTCTATGTGTGTAGCATGCTTGCTTGTATGTATGTGTGCAGGAGGAATGGTATATGTGTGTAGCATGCTTGCTTGTATGTATGTGTGCAGGAGGAATTGTATATGTGTATAGCATGCTTGCTTGTATGTATGTGTGCAGGAGGAATGGTATATGTGTGTAGCATGCCTTCTTGTAATAGCACGGATCTGATTTTAGAGTGCTATATATATATATATATATATATACCAAACTGAAATACCACGCTGAAGACACTCAGCACAGTATATTCCACCTGGTCACATTTTACTTACAACAGGTAAACCAGCTGCTGTTGTTTCTCTAAATGCTGAACTATAAGCAGGAAATAACAACCACTTTTTTATGGACTTCAGTATGTCCCGGCCTTGGGACAGAACCCACTGCATTCCTCACTTGGGAAAATGATCAACACTTGGGCCAAAAGTGAGGTTTAGGATACAACAAAAGGCCTACGCCCTTTAACAGTAACCCAAGTTATAACATAGTATTGTTTGTTCATCAGTTGGTGGAAAAGATTTTTGAAACATTGGTAAGCTTTCCCTTTGGAGCCCATTTAACACTCACATCCACCAGGGACGATAAATATTACCAAGTTTGAAAGAAATCCATTCACCATTCACCAAACTTAAAGATGACAGAGGATGGACGACGAAGAACAAAATGATTGCGATAGGTCACTTGAGCCCAAATGTCGCAATAGAAACCGCAAACTTTTTTTGTCACTTTTCTGTTTCCAAGAATAGGCACAAAACCAAATCCAAAATTCTGCAGTTCCCATATTAGCTGTCTCTTACATACATGCAAAAGGGGTAACAGAAGATGTGTTCAGTCCCCAAACATCTGTGATTCTACTCGATGAAATATTCACTATGTCCATCTGCAGTAAAACATTTTACTGCAAATTTACAACAAATTTACTGTTTATAATATTATAAAACAAGAGGCCCAAGGGCCTTAGCGGTCACCTGAATTATATCATAGGTACTGGTAGCTCAATTTCATTATTGAGATGTGATGTGGAAATCAACATGTAAACAAAGTGAAATACAATACTTGTCATATGTCACCATAGGATAAGAACTCTAACAAGAATACCGCGGGGAGGAACAATATACGCCCGTCGAATGCCATATAGTGTTATATACTTTCTTACATTGAAATAAGATCTGCATCATTCAAAGAGTGGTTAGCTGACGTGCTATAAAAATGTAGTAGAAAATCTCCGGAATAAAAAATCAAATACAGAAATGAACAAAGGGCAATAACTTTTGCAAAAATCGTTGAATCAAAATTCTATTCAAGGAAACACAACAACAAATCATGATTATTGAGCCTACTAAGTTTCAAAGAGATCTGTTGAAAACTGTAGGAGGGGATTGCCGGACAAAAATCAAATACTGAAATGAACAAAGGGCAATGACTTTTGGAAAAATTGTCGAATCAAAATTCTTTTAGGGGAGACACAACTTCATATCATGATTATAATGTACACCAAGTTTCAAAGAGATCGGTCGAAAAATGTAGGAGGAGATTGCCGGACAAACAAAAGTTTACGCCGGACGGACGGACAACGCCATACCATAATACTCCCGTCAAATTTGACAGGCGTATAAAAACTATTCAAATACATTATTTTGCTATTGAGAAATATAATATCTATTGTTATTTAGCCAATTTTCCTCTCTTGCCAACCCCTGGGATAGGACAGGATCTTAGTTTCTGATACTATTTTATATCAATTTCATTATAACTATTTCAACCAAGTTTGAATTATTTCTGGCTGAAAATGGACAAGATCTGGTCAGAAGTGCTATTTCCCTATATAAACCAAGGAGAACAGATGACCAAAGGGTAATATAACTAACAGTTTATATAATGCAACTTATATAAGGGCATTTCCATCCCAAATAGGAAATTTGAATCTTCTACCATCTGATCATGAGTGCAGAGGTTTTTTAAATATCAGCCATTTTCCCCTTTTTGGCCCATTAACCCCTCCAGCCCCTGGGGCAAGGCTAGATCTTATTTTTTCAAATTGATAATGCACCTAAGGACCTTTCTATCCATGAAGAGTAATTTGTTTGGAGTCTGATGAAGAAGATTTTTTTTAACTTTTTAACCATTTACCCCATTCGGGCCCCACCCCTTCAGCCCCTGGGGATGGGGCAGGATCTGATTTGCTCATACCATCTAATTGCCATCTGGCATCATAATCATTCTAAGTATTAATAATTTCCAGCTAAAAATTGACAAAATATACCCAAAAGTGTTATTTCCCTATATAAACTATAGTAAACTTGACCCCCTCCCCAAGGGAGAATGGATAGCCCGAGATAGTGAAATTTACAATTTACATAAACCCCTTGATGATCTTTCCAAATCCATGCAGAGAAATTGACTGCAGGACCTCTGAGTCTGGAGAAGAAGATTTTTAAAAGATTGATTAAGTTTCCCTTTGGGGCCCCACCCTGGCCCCTGGGTTTGGGGTAGGAATACCAATTTTACAATTTTGTAGCCTCATCTACCAAGGATAATTCTGACCAAGTTTGAAAAAAAAAAGATCTTCTGGTTCTTGAGAAGAAGTCGAAAATGTAAAAAGTTAACGCACGACGGATGACGGACGCCAACGGACAAAATGCAATCAGATTAGGTCACTTGACCAAAGCTCGGGTGATCTAAAAAAATATATAAAATGTCCTGATCACATTATTGCCAATATTAACAATGGGACACACAATTCTGAACCTAACATTCTGATACCATGGTACTTTTTGTCTTTGTATGTTTATGTAGTCCTAGAAAATACTTTGCAAAATGGGATATCCACATTTAAATTACAAACTGATAATCCCAAACTTTCATATTGGGGTCCATAATGAACTCTTCTATCTAACAAAACAAGATAACTTCAAATTAAACTGGCAGTTACTTTATTCAAATGGATTAGCTACTTGTAAATCATTAGAAAACATTTATTAAATCAACAATACATAACTTAAGGCTATATGCTACGTAAGTGTGACATGTATCCACATTTCAAAACAGTTCCATGCCTGGAAAATGTAAAATATTTTGAATGGTTAAGTTCTGACATCTTTAGATATTTAACAATACTGTACACTCAGGTTTTCTTCCAACTATCAAACTAATTAAAGATGTAGGGGATAACACTAACACGAATTACCAGCAATTTAATGTGAAATGTAGCATATATATCCTCAACTCTTAACACAAATAACAGGTAAAAATTGAAAGGTAGCATTTCAACAATCAAAAACATCTTTTACATTTATCATGGGACAGGATGTAGCTACGTGGTATATCGATCAAAGCATCACACAAATATATGACCAAAATCAGCAATACATCTACTTACCAGAGATGGTGTCAAAGCCACCCTATGCTCGCCTGTTTAAAAAATTATCGCCTTTAAAGATTTTTTAGTAAAATTGTAAAGTTCCAAACAGGTGAAAAAATTTCAAAACTTGAAATATTTTTTTAATTTTTACTTCACTACATCAATATTATACCCCACAGGAACCTCCATGCCAAATATCAGCATCCTAGTACACATTTAATGAATTACAAGCTTCTAAATAACTTGCAGGTAAAACTTTAAAATGTTCTCGCTGACGCTCCCTCCAGGGGTATCGCTATAGCTCTCTGTTCTTCGAACAGGCGAGGTAAAAACGTAAAATAAAGGAAATGGGGAACATAGGTGTGAGTTAATGATGTAAATTTAAACAAATTAACCTGACAGAACTATGTCAAATAAGTAAACCCAGAACAATCTTGCACTACTGGCAAATGTACCCGTTAATTGCCCATTAAAAAACCCATTAATTTTATACCCATTAATAATGTACCGAATAATGGGTGCAAATTAATGGTCAAATTCCATTATTTTTAATTCATAAGATGCACAACGCATACAAAAAGAAAGTGTCAGTTAACTAAAAAATGATGTTCAGATTAATGCCTAAATGACGTTTTTTTTTATTATACCAGTAAGATTATTTCAATACACTTCATATATGATACAACATACGACTGATATAAATATAAACATCAAACTATATAGTGCGAGTACCTGGGGTTAAGACACTGAAATATAATTTCAACTGACTAGTGTTTATAAGTACTACATGAACAATTCTCAATACAAAAAAATATAAGTACCGTTATATGTATATCACGTTTTCATTGTGCAATATTTAACAAGAGGCTCAGAGGGCCTGTATCGCTCACCTGGATATCTAAGCAATTATGACAAAATATTCTCCAAAGGAGATACAAGGGAATATGTAGCATATCTGTATTAGATTTTTCATGCCAAGCAATTTGATGTATGGTTATGGGGTGGGGATATTAACTGTTTCCAATCGGTGACTCGGAAACTAGGTCCCTAGGGTTGTGACCAGACCCTGGGGTCAATTCTTATATCATGACTGCATTCGTCTCTTTATGCCCAACAATTGAATATATAGTTTTGGGGTGGGGATCTAAACCACTTCAAAGTTATGACCCAGGGATTAAGTCTCCAAGGGGGGGGGGGGGGCTGACCTTAAGGCCATCCTTGAAGTATATGTGCATTTATCTCTTTATACTCAGCAATTGTATATATGGTTATAGGGTGGGGATCTCAACTGTTTCCAAGCTGTGACTAAGAAACTAGGTCCGTAGGGGTTCAGTCAGATCCCAGGGTCTATTCTAATACCATGACTGCATTTGTCTCTTTATGCCCAGCATTTGTATACATAGTTTTGGGGTGGGGATCTCAACCGTTTTAAAGTTATGGGTCAGGGAGTATGTCTCCAAGGGTGGGGCTAAACCCTAGGGCCATCCTGGAAGCAAATGTGCATTCTTCTCTTTATACTCAGCAATTGTATATATGGTTATACAGTGGGGATCTCAACCAAGTAATACACTTTTTTTGACCCCACTCCTTAGCCCCTGGGGGTCAGCCACACTATTTGTATAATTTTGAATCCCTGCCTCCTATGAATGCTTCCAACCAAATATGATTGATATCCATGGCATATAGTTCTACAGAAGAAGTCGTTTGTAGCAATATAGCCAAATTGCCCCCTTTTGGCCCCGCCCCTCAGCACCCTGGAGGGTCAGCCCCACCATGTGTACAATTTTGAATCACCACTACCTAGGGATGCTTCCAGTCGAATATGGTTGATATCCATTACTTAGTTCCAGAGAAGAAGTCGCTTAAAGAAATATAGCCAAGTAACCCTTTTTGGCCCCTGCCCCTCAGCCCCCTTGGAGGTCAGCCACACCATTTGAACAATGTTGAATCCCTGCCTCCCATCAATGCTTTTGATCAAATATGATTGATATCCAGTGCATAGTTCTACAGAGGAAGTCGTTTGTAGCAATATAGCCAAATTGCCCCCTTTTGGCCCCGCCCCTCAGCACCCTGGGGGGTCAGCCCACCATTTGTATAATTTTGAATCACCACCACCTAGGGATGCTTCCAATCCAATATGGTTGATACCCATCACTTAGTTCCAGAGAAGAAGTCACTTAAAGCAATATAGCCAAATTGCCCCCTTTTGCCCCCGCCCCTCAGCCCCCTTTGGGGGTCAGCCACACAATTTGTACAATTTTTAATCCCCATCACCTAGGGATGCTTCCAGTCAAATTTAGTTAAATTCCAATCAGTGGTTAAGAAGAAGAAGTTGTTTAAAGCAATTGTTGTTGTACAGACGACGGACGGACGATGGACGCCATGGTAAGGCATAAGCTCACCTTGGTCCTTCGGACCAGGTGAACTAATAACTATATCATATAACACAAATGATTAAGTTTCAAAAATGACTAGCACCATTATTTATGTTATTCATATCCTTTAGATACACATGTTATCTCCTAAGTAAACAACATTTGTTGATATTTCATAGTTAAAACTTAATTTTTGTTCTAAAAAATTAAATCTACTGATATCAAACCATTAATACTTTGATTTAAAAAAAAAACTTTTCTCCACTAAATAGCAAAGAAAAGAACACTATAATTATCTATGTCAGAATTGCTGATGTCTATATAAACTAATATGGTTAATCCTTTCACCACTGTAGACCATAATAGTAACATAGGGGTGATAGGGTTACTAGTCCTACACATTAATGGTAAACAACAATCCCTCCCATACTGTGGTCCCCACCAACAATATAACTGAATAAGATAAAAGCTTGTGTAAGCTGGATAACAAGTTATCTGGAGTATTTATTGACAGGATGTGATAACAAGATTTACCATAACACTGACCACATATCTGTTTACAATCTATTGAAAGACGGCATCAATTAAAGGGACACAATTCTTGCAGAGTGAGACTTGTAAACGACCTGGTATTGGCCAGTTCTATTTACAAGCTGGATATTCACATGAAACAGTGTGAGGAGATTCCAAGCATTCACACGATAATCACTGCTTCTAACTCAAAATTGTGTCAGTAAATAGATTGTACACATCTTGAAATTATAGTTACCTGGTAGGGTCACTGTCTTAAACAATATTTCAAAAACTTTTCCCTTTGTTTCTCAATTCTTAAGCCATACATGAATTTTAAAAAGTGTAGGCTGAACAACATAAGTGTTAATCAACTGGTACAAGGTTATCGCCTGTTTACAAGTGAACAACATAAGCGTTAATCAGCTGGTACAAGGTTATCGCCTGTTTACAAGTGAACAACCGGAATTTATAATTCTAACATTTTTGAAATACTATAAAATAAAATTTGGGTAAAGGGTTATAAACAAAGCAGTATGAATGTTGTACATTGATCATTACCAAAGTGTCACTCACACAAATTCCTGTTACCCTGTTTTGTTTGTTGTAAATATTGTTGAGGACTCAAAAATTGTAAAGAATTTGAAAAGATAGAAATCCAAAATCTTGTGAATGTTACTTGTATCATTTCTGTCCAACTTAAGTTGTACATGATACTTCACAGTCATGACATTCATTCTGGAACCTATTTATTTTTCATATGATTTTTTGATAATGATAGGTACATGTACATTTATATCTATATCTTTGATTCTCAGAATAAACAAGAGGTCCAATGGGCCTGCATCGCTCACCTGGTATTAATCTCACAATTGTAACTTTAAAAGAGGACTAAAATAAAGCTACAGGCAAAATATCAGTGTCTTGACTTAATGTCATCCAGAAGAACCTGTTAAAGGATTAATACACATTTAAACCCTGTGACCTTAAAAGTCAAACATGGACATTAAGTTGAAAAAACTTTATAGCCCTTCATCCCAGAATGCAAGTTGCCAAATATCACCACCTTATATCTTTTGTTTATTGAGAAGATGACTTTTAAAGATTTATGCACTATGGACTAGATATGACCATGAAAGTGTGTCAAGTTCATTCACATCTGTAAGCACCCTGTAGACTTTAGTTTTTCAGAAGAAGTCATTTGAAGATTTCAACATATTTGACCCCTGTGACCTTTCATATGGGCAAAGGGCATTCATTTGAACAAACTTTGCAGCCCTTTATCCCTGCATGCTACTGGCAAAATATCGTCACCCTGGACCTTTTGGCAATTCAGAAGAAGACGTTTAAAGGTTTTCAAGACAATTGACCCCTGTGACCTTGAATGAGTGAAGGTCATTCATTACAGCAAATTTGGTAGCCCTTAATGCCAACATCCTTCTGGCCAAATATCATCACCCTGGACGACAGAAGAAGTCGTTAAAAGGTTTTTAAGACAATTGACCCCTGTGACCTTGAATATGAGTGAAGGTCATTCATTTGAACAAACTTAATAGCCCTTCATGCCAACATCCTTCTGGCCAAATATCAGCACCCTGGACATTTTGGTTATACAGAAGGTGTTATATTTCAACATATATGACCCCTGTGACCTTGAATATGTGCATAGGTCATTCATTTGAACAAATTTGTAAGCCCTTTATCCAAGCATGCTACTGGACAAATATCAACACCATAGGCCTCTTGGTTATTTAGAAGAAGTTGTTTTAAGTTTAAACATATTTGACCCCCCTGTGACCTTGAATATGGGCGAAGGTCAATTATTTGAACAAACTTGGTAGTGCTTCATCCCAACATCCTTCTGACCAAATATCATCACCCTGGACCTTTTACAGAAGAAGTTGTTGGAAGGTTTTTAAGACAATTGACCCCTGTGAACTTGAATATGGGCGAAGATCATTCATTTGAACAAACTTCAACAATAAAGGGTTAACAAGTCTGTTCAAATGAATGACCTTCGCCCATATTCAAGGTCACAGGGGTCAAATATGTTGAAATATCTAAACAACTTCTTCTGAATAACCAAAAGCTTTGGGCTGATGATATTTGGTTAGTAGCATTTAGGAATGAAGGGGTACCAAGTTGTTTAAAAGTTTTAAAACATATTTGACCCCCCTGTGACCTTGAATATGGGCGAAGATCATTCATTTGAACAAACTTGGTAGCCCTTCATCCCAGCATGCTACTGGTAAACAAGAGGCCCAATGGGCCTGAATCGCTCGCCTGGTATTTATCTCACACTTGTAATCTTAAAAGTGGACTAATATACAGCTACAGGCAAAATATCTGTGTTCGATCCATTTGAATCTGTTAAATGATTTAAACATATGACGCCTGCGACCTTGGAAGTTTAAAGCCTTCCATCCCGGCATATTTCTGGCTAAATCTCATTACCCTGGACCTTTTGAATATTCAGAACAAGTCATTTAAAGATTTAAACATATTTGATCCCTGTGACCTTGAATATGATCAAAGGTCATTCATTTGAACAAACTTGGTGGTCCCAACATGTTACTGGCCAAATATCATCATCCAAGGCCTTTTAGTTATTGAGAAGAAGTTGTTAAAAGTTTTTAAACATATTTGACCCCTGTGACCTTTAAAATAGATGAAGGTAATTCATTTGAATAAACTTGGTAGTCCTTCATTCCAGCATGTTACTGGCCAAATGTCATTAGCCTATGCCTTTTGGATATTTAGGAGAAGTTAGTTAAAGGTTTTAAACATATTTGACCCCTGTGACCTTGAAAATAGGTGAAGGTCGTTTGTTTGAACAAACTTGGTAGCCCTTCATCCCAGCATGTTACTGGCCAAATATCATTATCCTAGGCTTCTTGGTTATTCAGAAGAAGTTGTTTAAAGGTTTTAAACATATTTGACCCCTGTGACCTTGAATATAAGTCAAGGTCATTCATTTGAAAAAACTCTGTAGCCCTCTATTACAGCATGCTACTGGTCAAATAACATCATCCTAGGCCTCTTGGGTATTGAGAAGAAGTTGTTTAAGGTCATTGGAGTGTATTGATAAACAGAAAAAGGAAGTACATCCCTAGTTGAAAATCCAATGTAGGGAGACAGTATCACAATTTCCGCAAATTCTGGTGTTTAATATTAAATTGATGAATAGTGTATGTTTATTATTGACAGAACAGTGTGTTCTCTCAATATTAAAGTATTTCAAAGCAATCCAGGCATTAATTCAGGTTTTTTTTATCAATGGGTCACATGTGTCAATTTTTCTGTACTTCAGGAAACCAGCTACCTATTTCACTACTGTGAAGTTTTTCAAGAACGATAACTCTTACCTGCAATTACTATGTGTATATGGTTTTATTATAAAATGTCAATTTTTATATCTTGTATAGAGAATAAATTTTACACAATTTCAGCATTTATTAAATTGATATACATTAATGCAATACTAAAATATGTCAGTATCATTTTTATTGACATTATTTTGTAAAAATATTGTGTCTTCCATTTTTTTTTTCAAAATTCACTCCTTTTTACATAAATTTCCATTAAAAATCCTGAAAATTCTGATAACCTATATTTTTTTTGTGGCATAAAATTTTCTTTACTTTAAAGCAATATAACTAAAAAACTTTGTGCCAGGTGATCTAAAAATCATCAGCCTGGGTCTCTTGGTTATTGATAAGAAGTTGTTTAAAGTAAAAAGTTGACGACGGACGGCCAACAGCCCAGGTGAGATAAAAAGACATTGAAAGATGCTGTTTTGTTCTGATTAATAAAATGATCAGGCTGCAATTTAGTTTTTGTGATCACAAAACACTTTTGTTTATAACAATCTTGTCCAAATGTTTTAGAGATTTTTCACTCCTGGTCGATAATGCCCACAATTGGCTGAGATTGTCCCCACGAGGCAGAAGTATGTGTGTGAGCGGGCACACTCCCTAGTTAGTCTCCAGGAGGACCCCAGGCATGGTGTTGAAACCTGTGTTGAGGGGGATCCCTCGTTTTGGTATGTAGGGTGCTGTACGCTTCACCATGGTGATACAATCAATGATGGGACACACAGACAGACACAGCGTACAGCCTGAAGATGAATACAAAATATACACCTAAATTATATAGTGAAACACAGAAAACCTATCTCTTATGAAATACACTTCAGGCCTTAACCAGTGTACTACATGTAATGAAATGTATGGCCTGTAAACAGTTGAGAATTAATGAACAAAGTCTCAGAAATAGCTTACATTTCAACAGCCTATGGGAATTCAATCATATTTAAGAACAATTATTTTGCCAGTCTAAATTGAAGAAGTGACTCTTAGCAATGTTCACAGATCACATTCCTCTTTGACGGAGGGAATGACCTTCACTGCATTTTGGAAAACACGCATCAGGTTTAAATATTCAAGTCTACTCTAAAAAGAGTGAAAACCTTAACAAAAGAGACAATCACCTTAATACCTGTAATGCATGAAATATTGCCTCGCACATTTTCTTTGAAAAGTTCAGTGGAAATATCACTTACCTGTACAGTCTTGGGTGACGTTTGGCAGGTGAGTTTCAGGGTCAAACTTGATGGCCTGGTAGCCCGAGTCGTTACAAGTCATGTAGCACTTGCCACAGTTGATACACATGTCCTGCACAAGAAAATGAGACTCAGAAAACTAGGGTTCTAACGGCAGATACAATGTAAGTATGGACATCAGGTCAGTAGATGTAATGTTTCATTGTCTGGGCCTGTATTTAGGAAATCATTCTCATGCTCAAACTCAGTTCAGTGCCCCTGGGGATGGGGCAGGATCTTATTTTCTCATCTAATTGTCATCTGGCAGCATAATCATTCCAACAAAGTTTGAATAATTTCCTGCTGAAAGTGAACAAAATAAACCCAAAAGTGTTATTTCCCTATATAAACTATAGTAACAAAGCCCCTGATGGTCTTTCCATACATGCACAGATATTGACTGTAGTACCTCTGCGTCTCAAGAAGAAGATTTTTGAAATATTGCTTAACTTTCCCCTGGAGCCCCGGGGTTGGAGCAGGAATGCCGATTTTGCAATTTGATACCATCTTCCTCAAAGGATGATTCTGATCAAGTAAGAATAATTTCCTACTGAAAATTGTCAAAATATACCCAAAAGTGTTATTTCCCTATATAAACTATATTAAACTTTACCCCCTCCCAAAGGGATGGCCCTGGGTTACTGAAATTTACAATTTAAATAAAGCCCCTGATGATCTTTCCATCCATGCAGAGAAATTGACTGTGTAGTACCTCTGAGTCTGGAGAAGAAGATTTTTGAAATATTGGTTAATTTTCCCTATGGGGCCCCGCCCAGGCCCCTTGGGTTGGGTAGGTATCCCAATTTTACAATTTTGCAACCTCATCTACCAAGGATGATTTTGACCAAGTTTGAAAAAATTCCATTCATTGGTTCTTGAGAAGAAGAGCAAAGCTCAGGTGACCTAAACATTTCTACACTCAGGACAAATAATGGCCTCTTAATACAGGTGGTCTCATACAGGTTCAAATCACAATAAAATCATTACAGTGGAAAGCAGTAATAACAGTCTCTTGACACAGCTAGGTAGTCTCGTGATAGAGGTGGTCATATGTGCAGGTTTAGACTGCAAGCCACTCCAAATCAACTTACTCAGCATGTAAGCATTAAGAGAGCTTGACTATAACTCATGTGTTGACTATAAAGTTTCTTCCCTTACCTCATCAATGAGGGCCACCACCTGTTCCTTGTTGTTTAGGTCACCATAGGATCCAATCATTGGCAGTGCCTTACCAATGACCTCCTGCAAAAGTGAAGGTCACACATATTTATCAATAATTAATTAATTCCTGATGGTCTTCAGGAATTCTGTCAATTCATATCTAGTGGTTACAGTCATTAAACACTTCAAGATCAGTCCATAAATTGCTGAAATATGATTAACTCTAGTTAATGTTTACATTTGCAATAATCTTAAATGTATCACAGATGTTTCCCTTTATGGTAAATTCTATGAGTATCCATAGAAAAATGTCTGAACCACAGTACCTGGAATATTTGCCAGTGGCTTACAAAGTGACATTTATTTTTCTGAGTCATGTACGAACTAAAGTCTAAACATATAACACCAGGCAGGACAACACAATAAGCTAATAGTCCTCGAAATGGCACGTTATTGATGATCTTCCTACTGATAATACACTGACAGTTGTACAACTGAAATAACTTAAGGTAATAGGATTGTGTCACCATTTCTCAGGAGAATTTCTTCAAATTTTGTAATTAAATAATGCTTTGAAGTAAAGATTTTTTTCTGCCACAAAAAAAATATAGATTGTCAGAATTTAAAGGATTTTAAATGGAAATTTATGTAAAAAGGAGTGAATTTTGAAAAAAAAATGAAAGGCACAATTTTAGTCAAAATAATGTCAATACAAATGATACTGACATAGATTAGTATTGCATTAATGTATATCAATTTAATAAATGCTGAAATTGTGTAAGATTAATTATCTGTAAACGATTAGAAAATTGACATTTTATAATAAAAACATGTACTCATAGTAATTGCATGTAAAAAGTTATCTTTCTTGAAAAACTTCACAATAGTGAAATAGGTAGCAGGTTTCCTGAAGTACAGAAAAATGGACACATGTAACTCATTGATAACAAGAGGCCCAATGGGCCTGCATCGCTAACCTGGTATTAATTTCACACTTGTAATCTTAAAAGTGGACTAAAAAACAGCAACAGGCAGAATATCAGTGTCTGATTCATAAGAACCTATTAAAAGATTTAAACATATGACGCCTGTGACCTTGAATGTCAAACAAGGACATACGTTGAAAGTGGGTCAAGAACATTCATTTGAGCAAACTTGGTAGTCCTTCATCCCAGCAGGCTACATGCCCAATATCAGTACCCTGGGCCTTTTGGTTGTTGAGAAAAAGTTGTTTGAAGATTTTAAGACATATGACCCCAGTGACCTTGAAAGTTGGTCAAGGTCATTCATTTGAACAAACTCGGTAGCCCTTCATCCCAGCATGCTACAGGCCCAATATCAGTACCCTGTGCCTTTTGGTTATTAAGAAGAAGTCATTTGAAGATTTTAAGACATTTGACCCCTGTGACCTTGAAAGTGGGTCAAGGTCATTCATTTGAACAAACTTGGTAGCCCTTTATCCCAGCATGGTACATGCCAAATACCATCAGCCTAGCCTCTTGGTAATTGATAAGAAATTGTTTAAAGATTTTAACATATTTGACCCCCATGACCTTGAAAATTGATGAAGGTCATTTATTTAAACAAAATTGGTAGCCCTTCATCCAAGCATGCTTCTGGCCAAATATCATCACCCTAGGCCTTTTGGTTACTGTGAAGAAGTTGTTTAAAGTAACAAGAGGCCCATGGGCCTTAACGGTCACCTGATATATTTATACAGAGAGTTGATTTTGTTTTTAACACGAACAGAAATATTATTCAGTGACAAAAACAATAAAACCACCTTATTCAATATCTAGCATACAGATTTAAGACTAAAAAGTATTTGAAACTAGCACCTCTAATTCTAAACAAGGAAAATGAAGAAACTTTAGCACACTGACTCCTTTGGGCCCCACCCTACCGCCCTTGGGGGTAGGGCTGGCTCAAAATGATTTGTTTGTTATCATATGTGCCTGAAATCATAAATAGGCATTAAATAATCAATTTCAAACATATATTTGACTTTAAAAGCACATTACGTCCAGGTATTTGAATTTCTGCTCACAAGAACTTCCGGTCGGACGGGAGCAAGTGAAAGAATCATTCCCGCAATAATTTTCATAAAGAAAATATTTTGTAATGCTGGTTCCAGAACTTTCTAATGTTAAATAAATCGCTGTTCAGTTAAACAGACTTATTGGATTTTGTAATGAATTTTAAAATCAGTATGTAATAAAATTATTGTGCGAAACACTGGTGCATCACGTCACGGGAGAAATATAACATTGAACAGTGCCATTCTGCACGCCAGCATTTATGACTGAATTTTTGTTATCAATCCAAATTAAGTTCTCAAATTATGAATATGAATTGATATGCATATTCTGGTGTTTTTTTCAAACCCCCAAGCGGCGCCACCGGGGTTTGATCTGTAAACACTTTGTCAACTTCCTGTGCTTCCCCATGCGTGAAAGCCTTCTGGGAAATTGAGGCTGCATACTGTCTTCAAAAATATGATGGTCTACGGTATCGGTATTTATTAGTTTACATGTAATATAAGTGAAATATCATTAATTCTCCATTTGATAAAAACATATCGTTAATGTAGTGAAGATAAACGAAACATTATATCTTCACGAGTAAAAACTTCACTCTTAGTATTGTCCAACCTGAATGGTACATTAGTTTCTCTGCGTAGATTTTCAGTTTCAAGTTTAGATGAAGTGACGGCAGACTAACTGGTTGTGTTGTCAAATAGGTACATTGTCAAAAAAAATATTTGCAAAAAAGCGCTGCAATTTTAACAAAAGTTATAAATGATCTTTTATGTTAATCATCTTGAGTCCTGGCTTTTCTCTCTCAGAAGATGACGTTATTGCCAAATCAATGACATTTAGGCCTAAACGTGTGGTTAAAACTGTATATTTGCGTGTTGTGGGACAATTATTGAGCACAATATTGCAAAACGTAGGGATATTGAGCATGAACGGGATATTCTGAATGACAAAATTAATGTCATTAACAATTTATAGAATTATAATTAAATAGATTAAAGTATGCAGGATCTGTTCCCTCGTGGTTGATCGACTATCAGTAAGACGTTTTCATAAAAAGGTTTGGTGTCCGGCAGCTTTGCTGCATTTTCTTGTTTGTAGATATTTTTGTTGAAACTATAAAGTCGATTGACGATTACTCTTTATATAGTAACAGTCAGAGATCACATGATCAAGATTCATTCAAGATGGCAGCGATACAGTGTGTATGTCGAGTCGATCAGTATAAAAGTAATTTTCATGGGGTTTTAGCAATGTTGATGGGCTTAAACATGCACTTTATGTTACATATAACGTTCTCATTATGTTTCAAGTGAGGATATTGACAAATAAAGCTGTTATTGACGCTGTCATGGGAAATGATTGCGTGAAAGTTCGGACGGTGAAAACGTCAATGAATTTGAAGCCCAAGACTTTGACCGTAATTTTGCGATATTTCTAAGACATCAAGACAAAGTATTTGGATAAGTTTTTAACATCGCCTAATCTCCTCACAACTTTCTATACTTCAAAATGATTTCCCATCACTACTGTCACTGCAGTGCAGGGGCATATCCAGAATTTTGTCTAGGGATGTCGGTCAACGTTCCAGGTTTCACACTTATTTTGCGATGCATTATTTCACAGTCTGTTTCATACACATAAGCTGGTCGAGTACCCAAAGTGTAACACTTCATTATTTAAGACAGTTTGTGAAATAACTGTCAGCATTTAAAGCAATTTTCTTCATTTCAAAAATGTTTTGAAAATCTCTGACAAATTTTAGTCGTTTATTTAGTTCTGCATGTTTAGAAATATGATAGGATATTTATGTTGTCACACCGTACCGTACGTTTCCTGGGATTTTGTTCCCCATTTTTTGAATAGTTCATGAGCAATGTTTAAAAGGTAGGCAATTTTTTTTTTCTCAAATTGCATAGAACTATATAAATCTTGATTCAGAATACAGAACATTCACTTTTATTGCAAAATAAAAAATGCTGCATGATATATATATATATCGGAGGTGTTCCATTTTGGGTACCTTCACCCTATATTTGGTCTGAACCATTTCATTTTACACAAAATTAGTTAGATACCAGTCTTGGCCTTGTACTTTTTTCTCTATAATATATATCTGAATCCTAATTCCTGTTCTTTTTTTTTTAGTTATAAGGCCAGAGTGAAATGAATCTTCAATATATTAATATATCTTTGTTAACTTATTTGAATTAAAAAAAAAAAGATCTACAATATGTTTCTAAAAGTAAGTAAATATATATAACTACCTGTTTGTCTATCATGCAAAAGAAATATGAATTGAAACTGTCGAAAAAATATGTAAATGTTTATTATTCAATCAAAATTATCATTTACATGGGTAGGTTTCGTCAGGGGTTAAGATATGATTATCTTTATGTATAGTAGTTCTTTATTATTTAATAAACTATGCATATATAGGTCTCTATTGCAAACCTTCTGTAACTAATACCTGTGCCCTGTAGCTATTATGGACAACCAACCTTACAGGTACAAAATTAAAGGCTCTATCCTTGTTTACCGATTCATTAATTGATGCTTGGGTGCGATATCAATATGTGTCAAAAATTCAATACAGAGTTTATATGTACATGTATTTGTTGTTGTTGTTGTTGTTGGGGGGGGGGGGG